CGAAGTCTGGAATACTCTACCGCGGGACACCGTCCACCGGCGGCAACGTCCACCCTTTTGTGGAATACCCCAACTGTGCGATTTTCGGAAGCGACAACCTCGAAATCGACATGGAGCTCTCGTCTTCGTTTCTCTTGTGTTTCTTGTACTCGACAAGCGACGCCGCGGTGCTTGCGGCAGGTTGGTCGGGGGCGACCGCGAACACGTAGACTTCTCCTTCGTTTGATGGGATTGTGCCTCCAAACGCTTTCTTGATCGAGAGCGCTGGCCCCATCGCCTTGAAACGTTGAACGTCTTGGAGTTCACCGAGTGTCACCGCTGGTGCGGCTTCGCAGTAGAACCCGGCACCATCCTTCGCCATGACGAGTTCCAAGCTGTAGGCTGGGAATTGATACATCGTTTTGATCGCGATCTTTTCCTTGAGCTCGCCGACAGTCTCGTCCTCGCGGATTGTGACGGGGAAAGGAGGCCCAATACCTCCGACAACGACGCAGAACAATCGCCACTTGGGGGCGACCGCGAACACGTAAACTTCTTCTTCGTTTGATGGGAATGTGCCTCCAAACGCTTTCTTCATCGAGAGCGCTGGCCTCATCGCCTTGAAACGTTGGACGTCTTGGAGTTCATCGAGTGTCACCGCTGGTGCGGCTTCGCAGGAGAACCCGGCACCATCCTTCGCCATGACGAGTTCCAAGCTGTAGGCTGGGAATTGATACATCGTTTTGATCGCGATCTTTTCCTTGAGCTCGCCGACAGTCTCGTCCTCGCGGATTGTGACGGGGAAAGGAGGCCCAATACCTCCGACAACGACGCAGAACAATCGCCACTTGGGGGCGACCGCGAACACGTAAACTTCTTCTTCGTTTGATGGGAATGTGCCTCCAAACGCTTTCTTCATCGAGAGCGCTGGCCTCATCGCCTTGAAACGTTGGACGTCTTGGAGTTCATCGAGTGTCACCGCTGGTGCGGCTTCGCAGGAGAACCCGGCACCATCCTTCGCCATGACGAGTTCCAAGCTGTAGGCTGGGAATTGATACATCGTTTTGATCGCGATCTTCTCCTTGAGGTTATCGATGGTGTTGTCCTCGTGGATGGTCACGGAGAAAGGAGGCCCGGTACAATGGCGGCATTTCGAAAAATGGGTGAATGAATCATTCTGAAACCTGTCAAACACAATTCTTTTCAGCTGTCTTCATAATCCAGGAAATGAGATGACATATCGGCGAAAATACCGGAGGTTTTAATTAATTTCACTTACAAATGACTAGTGATTAAATTTGAGAAACTATTTGTTCAAACAATTAGGAAAAACATTCGGAAAAATACTAACGTTATGGGTGAATATGATCACACCGTTCGGACAATTTCAGTCGGACATACTTGACATTTGTAAAGGACTTATGGGGAACATATTTTGTCCGAATGAAATTGCGCGCACCGCAGCGGAGGTTGTGTGTATAATTTTGTGCAGGCGGTGCCTTGGCGACGAGTGAGTCGTGCACTTCACCGAATGTCCAATCGATTCCTCTTGTCGGGAAAAGCGGCAGGTAGGCCGCAGGCCGTGCCGCTACCTGGACAAGGCCTGTGGTACAACTATTCGCATTTAATGATAAATTCGGTAAAGTGCGTGTCCGAAGCACATATCCAGCAAATATTTGTCCGAGTCGTTATGGTATGGAATACCAGTAGGGAAGACAATCAAAATGAAATCATACTTTTGAAAATATTCATATTGGCTGCCCTACTATATTTCCCTATTTGACAACGATCCCCAACTAAGGGGTCCTATTTTCCCTAACGGTGACTGGTAGAACTCGCGTTGCAAATTCGGCTACCCAAACACTCCAATTTCGAATTGACTGCTTGTGACGATATGTACGTATAACTAGTACGTAAACTGTCACATGCAACGCACATTCCACGTCCATTATGTCAAAATACTCTGTACAATCCATCCATCCATCCATCCATCCATCCAGGGTAACGTTATTCTTTCTCTATTAGCGTGTAACCTCCCCTCTCTCTCTACTGCCGGGCGTGGCCGACTCGAAAATCGATGAGAAAATGCCCCAGCTCCTTGACGAACGTCGGCTCATCCACTTGTCCGGTCCAGCACTGCAGCGAGTCGGCGCCGCCGTCCCCCACAAACTGCGGCAGACACTCGTGAAAGAACGACGGCATGTCCACGTCTGCGATATGGTACAGCAGCAGACCCAGCTCTTCTTGCAGCAGCCCCACGCGGCCGCGGGTGAGCAGCGTCAGAAGTGTGTGCAGATAAGCCATTCGCACTTGGCTTTTGAA